AAGATACTATTTAAATTTTTCAATAATGTTTTACTTTTTTTTTTGTAATTTTTTTAAGTGAAAAATGTGTTATTTTCTATTTTAAATTATATTTTGTGAAGAAGTTGCTAATGTGAGGCTTAAAGTAGCCAATCGGGGAAGTTTGGAGAATTTATGTGTTGGATGTTTATTCGTGATTGGAGGTGAAAGTATTGGTCCTTTTTAATTAGTTAAAAACGCGCGACACGGAAAAAAAAACATGCACGGAACAGCAAAATGCGCTTCAATCTAATCTTCTCATTTCAAATATTTTCCCCTACAGAATTTTCCCTACACAGGTACCTTTTTTTCCTAGAACCGTATAAGAGCTTTCACCCATGACGCGAGTAGTGCCTCCACACGGTCTTTCATAAGTAGTCCGCGCAGACTGCTTAAAAAGCGAATCAGTTGTGCGCATGTACCCAAAACCTTTTATAAAAGTAATTGAGAGAAATTTATCTTATATATTTGAGAATTGAATCTGTAGTGGTTGACAAGTGAATAAGGCAAACCAGTAATATTCATAAATAAAATAAATTTTTAGTCATATATTTGCTACCACTTTCTTATTTTAACTAGATTTTGTATTAAGTGACTAGTTCAGAAAGTGAATATCCTTCCCAGTGGTCTGATCGGACTACCTATAAAAAACCGTGTGGAGGCGTTGGTAGTGCTCGTTACTAACCATTACGGTCGAAAGCTTGCTCCCGAGCGGAACTCGTTTGCGCGCATTATAAAGCACGATTCGATTGCGAGCTGAACTCGTTCATAACCGTGAAAGGGTTAATTATGGTACAGTTTTTTAAATCCCTCTGTTGACTACCAGCTAAAAGAGCTTCCACCATTTTTTTAAATTTTAAATATGGTTATTACCTGTTAACTTACATTTCTATTAAAGACGACACGACGTTTCATATTTAATAGAACTAAAGACGTTTGAACTGGGAGCTTTAGCATCAATTTGGCGTGCACTTAGATAGAAACAGGCTTCCTCAAAAGAGATAATGTTTCTTTATTAACTTGCAACAGAGTATAGTTCAAAATTTTTTCTGAAGCATTTATACGCTGATTTAACGAATACAATTTTGGGAATGGAGTAATCAGTTACTTGAAAAAATCAGCAATGAAAACAAACTTTCATATGTAAATCGGGTCCTTATGATCAGAATTTCTCTTGAGATAACAAAACTATTATATTGACGCATAATTCTTGCTCTAGCAGAGATGCCAACTTGCTCCGGACAGCAAATATTAATTTTAAAGTGGTAGTTTATCAATTGTGATTCTTGGTTTAAATAAATTCAATTTAGTCGATTTTTATCCACCACTATTTCTAAATAATTCGTAGGCTTATATAATTCATCACTTCATTAATCTTATAGTACAAAGCTACCACAACGTTGTAATTTCATGATGAATGGGACAGTGGGCCGCTGCGCGGCCCAGGTGCCCAGTTGTTTTTAAATAAAGTAAGTAAGATCTTATGGTACAATTCATGACTTGTCCTGCCCATGCAGATATTTCGAGCCACCAACTGCCTTGAACTCCTCCTTTATCTTTCTTCCCTATGCCATTAGTACCAGTCGCCCTAGGGCATAATATCAGATTAAGAGGTCAGGTGCCCCCGAAACGCGGGCAGGCACCTTAACAAATCCAGATCGCCGATCTCATGGCATGCTGTACCTTTTAAAAAGCAAGCAGAAATAGTCAAATATTTGCAAAATTTACTTTGTAGTTATTTACCGTTTTCTTAAAATTATTTTGTCGTGTCCGGAACAGTTGGCATCTCTGCTCTAGTTAATTTGTCCCCACCACGGCTTCTTTTTCCATTTTATTACCAATCATATAAATTAGATTATTGTAACCGGGAAGCAACCCAACAGAAGCTGCAGACAGCCGAGGGGAAGGTGGATCCCCCACCGTGCACATATATTGCCATTGTTTTTTCTACATTAATGTTTGTGTCGTCAATGTTTGTGCCTAGACAACAAGCCTAGTCATGTACCTAGCCATCAGTCATAATGTTTCAAGTCATGTACTAGGTTATGTATTATGTACTTAGTCATCTTATCTTTTTGAGTGAAGTCAGATCTAATCAATCAGTAAAAGCTCACCAGGGCTGGTGCTCAGATACCAAAACAAATGTAACTAGGTGCAGTTATCTCATGAGAAATCTTTAAAAAAGTGGTAATCAACTTAAATCGACTATCGCTTTACAACTAAACTAAACGTTTGCAGTGGCATAGTAAATGTTATTTCGTGTGGAGCGAAACTCTTTATTATCACTATATTACTTAATATAGTGATTTCTTTATATGCTTACATACATATATATATATGCNTGGCCCTCTATGAGCTGTAGCGCTACTGAAAATTAGTAATTAGTCGTAGTATATATAACCGTATATATGTAACCGTAGTCGACTCATTTTTGACTTAATAAAATGATTGACTGACTATATATATATATATATATATATACAAGAAAACACGAAGAAAATTAAGAAAAACAATAAGTTTCATTTTGATGCGCATAAGCTGCAAGTAAACAGAACTCATTAGATAAGTTCAAAATGAAGATAAAACAAAGGAAAATTATAGACATATGAAAAGGGGGGGGAATAATAATGAAGAAATTAATAACAAACAACTGATTAAAAAAATGATTAAATATTTTTTAAAAAATCGGAAAATTAAAGATATAATCTCATCAGCCCACACGATTATATCCGTTTTTTTTAATCAGTTGTTTGTTATTTTTTTTTCATTACTATTCCCCCCTTTTTCATATGTCTATAATTTTCCTTTGTTTTATCTTCATTTTGAACTTATATATATATAAATAGATAGACATTGTCAGGAATAAATAAAAATATTAAATAGTTAAATGATTTCGTATATTTAATAAATTATTCTATCATCAAAAATATCATGAGCCTCGAGATACTTTTGGATTGAGCGCGCAGATACTTTATGTTTTTATCTTACTATGATACTCACTGATTTTCTCCCTGGCACGAATTAATCACTTACTAATGTCACTTGTGTATCACTTTATGTCATTCACTGTCATTTTTGAAATCCATTAGTTGTGCAAACTTTCACAGCTCAAAACTTTTGTTTTTAAATTTAATAACGTGTTTATAGCTCCTGGATACTATGATCTGGATCAAGTCTTTAAGAAAATGGAAGGATCAAAACCCCGTTACAGTTATTCATTTGGAGAGAAGCATCGCATGATGGATGACACACCAGGTAATCAAAACATCTAATAAAAGAACACAAAATATTACGGCATGTTAGAATAAAAGCATTTGTTTTACATTAGAATTTTATTAGATTTTCAATATATTCAGGGGTAGAACAAAATTAAGGAGACATGCTAACTCTAACTCTATGAAAATAACTTCATAGTTTTGGAAGCCTTCCAGAGGCAAAGCTCTTGGCACAGTTTGGGAGAAGCTTTAAGAAACGGTGTCCTTTTTAACAGTGCAAAATTCGGATCGACCAAATTGAGGAGAGGAAAATAGTAACTTCTTTCTAAATTTAATGCCAAAAAATTTTTAAATCATGTTATAGGATTACGAAAGTTTTCAAAGGATAATTGCAAATTTAAATTCTGGGTAAGGAGTACTTACCCCGGGGGCTATCTGCTTCTTCATCGAAATATAATAGAATTAAAGAAGGAATGAGAAGATTACGTTAGTAAATTAAAATGATAAAGAAAACAAAGTTTTTTTACCTATTGCTACTCACACAAATTCAGGCTAGTGTGCTGACATGAAACTAAAATGTAATTAAAAAATATTATCACTAAATAATTTTAACAATTAAATTAGTAATCATAAGATGCATTACAATCGTAATTGAGAATCCTCAGCCTCTTGAATGCAATTGTAAATTCGAAATTTTGCTAATATTAAGAGTTATCGTATAAAAAATATAATATTTTTAAATATTTCAGCTGCAGGTTATTGCGATCCCGATTCCGGCTATAAGAATCAGCAAGATGACCATCTGCAAGATAACAAAACCTACACATGCGGGCATAAAGGTTTACATCAAAGTGTTGATGCAACCCCCGGTATAGTTAAAGATTTATTTCCTATTAAAAACTTATATTGATAACTGATTTAACTGATGACCAAACTGAGGAGAAGAAGTTAATAACTACTTTCTTACTTTAATACCAACAAATTTTGAAATCATGTTGTAGCATAAAGATATTTTTCAAAGGATAATTGCCAATTTAAATTCTTGGTACAGAGTACTTAACCCAGGGGCTATCTGCTCCTTCATCGAAATATAATAGAATTAAGGAAGGAATGAGAAGATTGCATTAGTAAATTTACATGACTAGCTATTCAAAGTTTTTTTAAAGCATTGCTACTCACACAAATTCAGGCTAGTGTGCTGACATGAAACTTATATTTATTCAATATTATTAACGCTAAGAAATTTTAATAATTAAAGTTGGTAATTATTATATGCATTACAATAGTAATTGATAATCATTAGTCTTTTGAATGCAAAGTTTAATTTGAAATTTTACTAATATTTACAGTGAGTCTTATGAAAAATATAATATTTTCAAATATTTCAGCTGCTGGTTATTGCGATCCAGATTCCGGCTATAAGAATCAGCAAGATGACCATCTGCAAGATAACCCAATCTGCACATGCGGACATAAAGGTTTAAGTCGAAGTGCTGATGCAACCCCTGGTATAGTTAAAGATTTATTTCCTATTAAAAACTGATATTGATAACTGATTTAACTGATGACCAAATTGAGGAGAGGAAGTTAATAACTTCTTTCTTACTTTAATACCAAAAAATTTTGAAATCATGTTGTAGCATTAAGATATTTTTCAAAGGATAATTGCCAATTTAAATTCTTGGTACAGAGTACTTAACCCAGGGGCTATCTGCTCCTTCATCGAAATATAATAGAATTAAGGAAGGAATGAGAAGATTACATTAGTAAATTTACATGACTAGCTATTCGAAGTTTTTTAAAGCATTGCTACTCACACAAATTCGGGCTACCCTTATGAAATATCGAGGTATAAATGAGGTATATTTTAAAGATATAAAGGAGGTTGTTATTTAAATACGTCGTTAGGTTGAAAAGGGTGTGAATGAATACCTCAAACTCAAATATACCTTAAATATAACTCCAGAGGTATATATGTTTCAACCTGAAGTGTTTAATTTTACATCTGTGGAGAGGTAGATATTTAGTACTTTAAGGTGTTTCGTTTTCAACCTTAGGTTATTACTTACCAACCTGAAGTATATTTTTTTATACTTGTGGAAGCATTTATTCAACAACCTAAGGTGTTTCATTAAACACTTCAAGTTATTATAAATCTTCCTCAGGTGCATTTTTGACAGTTGGAAAGGTAACTTTTTACTAACTTGAAGTGTATTATGTTGGACCTCAGGTAATTATATTTCTTCCTTAGCTATCTAATTTTATGATTGTAGAGGTATTTATTTATCAGCCTATGGTGTGTCGTTTTACATTTCAGGTTATTATAAATCTACCTCAGGTGTATTTTTTAACAGGAAAGGTAATATTTTTCCAACGTGAGGTGTATTATTTTCGACCTCAGGTAATTATTTTTCAACCTCAAGTATAGATTTTTATGCTTCAAGAGGTATTTATTTATCAACCTATGGGTTGGCGTTTTATACATGAGGTTGTTATAAATCAACCTGAAGTGTATTTTCGACACTTGGAAAAGTTATTTTTTATTAACGTCTTGTGTTCCATGTTCTACCTTAGGTTATTATTTCGTAACCTCAAGTATATATTTTTGTAATTTTAGAAGTATTAATTTATCAACCTAAGATGCGACATTTTACTCTTCAGTCTTATGTAGTTCAACCTAAAACTGTTTTTTTGGTACTTACGAAGCTAATAATTCCCAAACGTGAGGTGTTATACGGTCCACCTAGTTTAATAATTTTTAACTTCGCTATATAAAAAATATAATATATATGAAGATATTATGTACATTATATGAAGAATAATGTATATCATTAAATTTTTTTACTCGTGGAGATCTTCATTTATCAACCTGAAGTTTTTAATATTAAACCTTCGGCAGTAATTGCTTCTTTTGTTAAGCTGTAAAAGAAAGTTTCAAATGCATAATTCTTCTGTAATTTTAAAAAATTTAATTAAATCATCTTGAATATCCAAATTCTACAGTTAGGAAAATTTATTTATGGGAACTCATATTTTTAGAAGATAGTTGTCGAAAGTGCTTGAATTTTCAAAGCTATAAAACAACAAATTTAAATAATCACTCAGCTGAAATTCAAATTACTTTTATTTGAAACTAAAATTTCATTTTTTATACAAACCCACAAAATTATTTCAAATACTGTTTCCGTCTGCCTGTTGAAATTTGTAATTATTGGATCCTAAAAGGAAATAAATATGAATTAGTAAGAAAGTCATATTTACAGTAATAGTGGCAGGTTCTAAAATATTATAAATTGTTTTTTGTTGTGATTTAACTTAACTGGATGAAATCAATTTTCTTTTTCAGAAAAATAGCATTCCTCTTCTGCCATTTCTTTTCAATCCTCGTAGCTAAAAAGCATGACAGGTACCACAGCCACAAAGTAAAATACACTGAAAAAAGTATTAACATTACAACATTTACAGAAATTCAAATATATAATTCCAAACTTATTATGCAATTTTAACGCTTTTTATTTTCCTATTCATCTGATATCATTACGGTACTTGTAAGTTTGATAATTAGATTTTCTTTCTATTTTTCTTACAAATCTTTAAACTCAATAAACCTAATCTATATTTTTAAACTTTTTTGTCAGACTTCATGAAACTAATAGCTTTTTTATAAATTTTTGATGCTGATTCTGAAAAGGACTTCCGTTATTGTCAATCACATCAGAGTTTCTTAAAATATAGTTATTTTAATATTTCTTAATCAATGTAATCAATAATCAACAATCGTTTAATGAATTGAAATTTGTAAGTTATGTGCCAATTTTTATTCTTTTTTAAACTCAATCTAATAGGACCGATTTCAAGCTGATAAGGAGCATTTATTTTAAAGTTGTGAGCAATTTTAAGAGAGGAAAATATCTAAGAAAGAATGATTTGAAATAATACTTTTAAAAGAAGTTGAGTATAATATCTCCTATATAACTTATGATACCGAGCAAAATAAAACTAGTAGTTAGGTGATAGAAACATTTGTTTAAATATGAAAACGCATCCCATAGGATGAAATTCAAAAAAAATTCATACAACTTTCAGCAATAAATGTTTTTATTTGTAATTGATTTTATTCAATTCAGCATTAAAATTGCATAAGAAACTATACTAACTTATTTCTGAAAAGTTAAAGATTTTCGAAATTCGCTAATTTTTGAAGTAGTGAATCATAAAAAGCTGCAAAATATGCTCATAACCTTGAAACAAATAGTTATAGAAACATGAAATCGGGTTTTATTTAATTATGCCCAATATTCTAATAAGTAATAACAATCTGCTTAGAAAATAATTAACGTGGGTAATTTGTGAAAAACTAACATTTAGTGAAAAATAGCAGTTTTGTGATCAAACATGAAAAAGTGAGCTAGTACAGTTACTAGCTCTCAATTATCAAATATCTAGCAAACTATTGTAATCAACAATTACATAAATACTGTAGTTTATTAGGAGAGATTAATTTTTCTTTTTGGTATAAATTCAGAACAATTTCCCAGGGGAAGGCTGAGCAATAGCTTGCAAGCCACCTTTCTTCGCTGCTGCACATATGCTATTTACAGCCTAGGTCATCTCAGCAATATCAGAGAACTGTGGATAAGCTCTGTTAAAAAAAAAATAATANTAGCTTGCTAGTCACTTCTTCTTCGCTGCTGCACATGTGCTATTTACAACCTAGGTCATCTCAACAACATCAGGGAACTGTGGATAAGCTCTGTAAATATATATATATATATATTACAAAAAAAAATTGCATGTTAATCAGATTTAAAATGCAGTGTTATTATACATATTTTCACTCATAAACAACAATATAAACTTCGCCTACAGATATCCAAGCAAACGATCACCATACAGCTATAGTAGAATTTCAAAGCAAAATTGCTGTTTTAAAAATCTTTCAATTTTCAACGATTTATTTATAAGAGAAATTATGAACATTTTACTCAATTAATCAGCTTGCATATTTGCTACGTTTAAATATATACATTTAAGCAAAATAAAAAAATAGTTATATTTGAATGAATAACAAACGATAAAATATACTATGCGTAACCTGCTGTAACGATTCACCAGTAACGTTACCCAAAACAGCGACGAGAAATATTCCGATTGTTCTCTCTTATTACAATAGACTACAACAATAGCCTTTAAGAATATCCTCCAACTTAAATCATTTAAGATCAAGACGCGTCCTTAATACAAAAATACTAAAATTTGAGAAATTGAAGCATATTTGATTAAAAGTGATAAAACTAAATTAATAAATGTCAAACACACTTACCGAATTTCGAATAGACTTTCGATTTTCAACACAAACGCCATTTGCCAGCTCGCACGGAACTCTGGGAAGTGAGCTAGTTAATATGAAGTGTACTTTAAACAAACTGAAAATAAGCTTAGGTATAAATAAAATGACTTCATACACCTCAATAAATACCTCACTCTTTTTAGTTGAAATAAGGTATATTTTTTTATACCTCGTAAATACTTTACTCTCGTTAGTTGAAATAAGCTTAATTTTTTTATACCTCATAAATACCTCTTTTGTTACAAGTATCAGAAAATCAACCTGGTATACCTTAAAAATAACCTTATCAGCCAAACTGATTTGAAGTGAATTTTAAACAACCTCAAAATTAGCTGAAGTTAATCTAAAACAACCTCCTATGCCTTAATTACAACATTAACGAGGTATAATTTTTATTGCTGTTTTCTCAGCAACCTTAAATATACCTCAAAACAACCTCGGTGCCTCAAAAAAATCTCAAATGTACCTTAAATATTCGTAAGGGAAGTCTGCTGACACGAAACTTAAATTTTATTAAATAACATTAACACTAAGGAATATTAAAAGTTAAATTAGTAATAATTAGATGCATTACAATAGTAATTGAGAATCATCAGTCTCTTGAACGCAAAGTTTAATTTGAAATATTGCTAATATTCAAAATAAGTCTTATGAAAAATATGATATTTTCAAATATTTCAGCTAATGGTTATTGCAATCCAGATTGGGGCGATAAGAATCAGCAGGAAGAACATCAGCAAGATAACCCAAGCTACGCATCATTTGAACATAGACATTCACCTCAAAATGTTGATGCAACCCCCGGTATAGCTAAAGATTTATTTCCTATTAAAATCTGATATTGATAACTGATGACCGAACTGAGGAGAGGAAGTTAATAACTTCTTTCTTACTTTAATACCAACAAATTTCAATATCATGCTGTAGGATAACGATATTATTCAAAGGATAATTGCCAATTTAAATTCTTTGTACAGATTACTAAGTCCGGGAGCTATCTGCTCCTTCATCGAAATATAATAGAATTAATGAAGGAATGAGAAGATTTCGGTAGTAAATTAACATGAGAAACTAAAAGTTTTTTAAAATATTGCTACTTACACAAATTTAGGCCAGTCCGCTGACAAGAAATTAAAATTTTATTGAATTATATTACCGCTAAGAAATTTTAACAATTAAATTAGAATTTTTAGATGCATTACAATAGTAATTGAGAATCATCAGTCTCTTCAATGCAAAGTTTAATTTGAAATATTGCTAACATTTAGAGTGAGTCGTTTGAAAAATTATAATATTTTCAAATATTTCAGCTGCTGGCTATTGCAATCGAGATTCGGGCTATAAGAATCAGCAAGATGAACATCAGCAAGATGAACATCAGCAAGATAACCCAAGCTACACATCATTCGGACACAAACGTTCACCTCCAAATGTTGATGCAACCCCCGGTACAGCTAAAGATTTATTTCCAGTTAAAAATTGATATTGATAACGGATTTAACTGATGACCAAACTAAAGAGAGGAAGTTAAAACTTCTTTCTTACTTTAATACCAACAAATTTTAAAATCATGCTATAAGATTACGATATTATTCAAAGGATAATTGCCAATTTAAATTCTCAGGTACAGAGTACTAAGCCCGGGGGCTATTTGCTCCTTCATCGAAATATAATAGAATTAAGGAAGGAATGAGAAGATTACAGTAGTATATTAACAGGAGAAACCAAACAAAGTTTTTTAAAGTATTGCTACTTACACTAATTCAGGCTAGTCCGCTGACATGAAACTAAAATTTTATTAAATAACATTATTGCTAAGGAATTTTAACAATTAAATTAGTAATTATTAGATGCATTTCAATAGTAATTGAGAATCATCAGTCTCTTGAATGCAAAGTTTAATTTGAAATATTGCTAATATTTAGAGTGAGTCATATGAAAAATTATAATATATTCAAATATTTCAGCTGCTGGTTATTGCAATCGAGATTCGGGCTATAAGAATCAACAAGATGAACATCAGCAAGATAACCCAAGCTACACATCATTCGGACATAAACGTTCACCTCCAAATGTTGATACAACCCCCGGTATAGCTAAAGATTTATTTCCTGTTAAAAACTGATATTGATAACTGATGACCAAACTAAAGAGAGGAAGTTAATAACTTCTTTCTTACTTTAATGCCAACAAATTTTAAAATCATGCGATAGGATTACGATATTATTCAAAGGATAATCGCCAATTTAATTTCTTGGTACAGAGCACTATGACCAGGGGCTATCTGCTCCTTCATCGAAATATAATGGAACTAAGGAAGGAATGAGAAGAATACGGTAGTAAATTAACATGAGAAACTAAACAAAGTTTTTTACAGTATTTCTTCTTACACTAATTCAGGCTAGTCCCCTTGAATGAAACTAAAATTTTATTAAATAATATTATTGCTAAGGAATTTTAACAATTAAATTAGTAATTATTAGACGCATTTCAATAGTAATTGAGAATCATCAGTCTCTTGAATGCAAAGTTTAATTTGAACTATTGCTAATATTTAGAGTAAGTCGTATGAAAAATTATAATATTTTCAAATATTTCAGCTGCTGGTTATTGCAATCGAGATTCGGGCTATAAGAATCAGCAAGATGAACATCAGCAAGATAACCCAAGCTACACATCATTCGGACATAAACGTTCACCTCTAAATGTTGATACAACCCCCGGTATAGCTAAAGATTTATTTCCTGTTAAAAACTGATATTGATAACTGATGACCAAACTAAAGAGAGGAAGTTAATAACTTCTTTCTTACTTTAATGCCAACAAATTTTAAAATCATGCGATAGGATTACGATATTATTCAAAGGATAATCGCCAATTTAATTTCTTGGTACAGAGCACTATGACCAGGGGCTATCTGCTCCTTCATCGAAATATAATGGAACTAAGGAAGGAATGAGAAGAATACGGTAGTAAATTAACATGAGAAACTAAACAAAGTTTTTTACAGTATTTCTTCTTACACTAATTCAGGCTAGTCCCCTTGAATGAAACTAAAATTTTATTAAATAATATTATTGCTAAGGAATTTTAACAATTAAATTAGTAATTATTAGACGCATTTCAATAGTAATTGAGAATCATCAGTCTCTTGAATGCAAAGTTTAATTTGAACTATTGCTAATATTTAGAGTAAGTCGTATGAAAAATTATAATATTTTCAAATATTTCAGCTGCTGGTTATTGCAATCGAGATTCGGGCTATAAGAATCAGCAAGATGAACATCAGCAAGATAACCCAAGCTACACATCATTCGGACATAAACGTTCACCTCTAAATGTTGATACAACCCCCGGTATAGCTAAAGATTTATTTCCTGTTAAAAACTGATATTGATAACTGATGACCGAACTGAGGAGAGGAAGTTAATAACTTCTTTCTTACTTTAATACCAACAAATTTTGAAATCATGCTATAGGATTACGATATTTTTCAAAGGAAATTTGCCAATTTAAATTCTTGGTATAGAGAAGTTAGCCCTGGGGCTATCTGCTACTTCATCTAAATATATTAGAATTAAGGAAGGAATGAGAAGATTACATTAGTAAATTAACATGAGAAGCAAAACAATGTTTTTTAAAGTATGGCTACTTACACAAATTCAAGCTAGTCTTCTGGCAGGAAACTAAAATTTTAAGTAATAAAATTAACACTAAGGAATTTTAACAATGAAATTAGTGATTATTAGATGCATCACAATAGTAATTGAGAATCATCAGTGTCTTGAATGCAAAGGTAAATGTAAATATTGCTAATACTGATAGTGAGTCGTATAAAAACTATAATATTTTCAAATATTTCAGCTGCTGGTTATTGCGATCCAGATTGGGGCTATAAGAATCAAGATGAAGCTCAGCAAGATAACCCAAGCTACGCATTCGGACATAAACTTTCACCTCGAAATGTTGATGCAACCCCCGGTATAGCTAAAGATTTACTTCCTATTAAAAACTGATATTCATAACTGATTTAACTGATGACCAAATTGAGGAGAGGAAGTTAATAACTTCTTTCTTTTTTTAATTCCAACGAATTGTGAAATCGTGCAATATTTTTCATAGGATAATTGCCAATTTAAATTCTGGGAACAGAGTACTTCATTCAGGGGTTGTCTGCTCCTTTATCAAAATATATTAGCATTAAGGAAGGAATGAGAAGATTACGTTAGTAAATTAATACATGATAAACAAAACAAAGTTTTTTTAGGAAAGTATTGCTACTCGCATATATTCAAGCCAGTGTGTTGACATGAAACTAAATTTTTATTCAATAATATTAACCCTAAAAAATTTTAATTATTAAATTAGTAATTATTAGATGCATTATAACAGTAATTGAGAATCATCAGTCTCTTGAATGCAAAGTTTAATGTAAATATGACTAATACTGAGAGTGAGTCTTATGAAAAATATAATATTTTCAGATATTTCAGCTGCTGGCTATTGCGATCCAGATTCGGGCTGTAAGAGTCAGCAATGTAACCCAAGCTACACATTCGGACATAAACCTTCACCTCCAACCTCCTTGATGCAATCACCGGTACAGCCAAAGATTTATTTCCTATTAAAAATTTTTATTTTTTATCACAACTCCATGTTACACAAGCATTTTCAATTAAACGAAGTTATTAAGTAACAATAATTTTTTTCCAAATTTGTTTAGTCTCAAACTAACACTTCCAATTTAAAAAATTTTTTTTGTTGCTGTATTTGTTAAAAATTTGTTCCTAGCGCAGCAAGTACAAATAAGAATAATACTGTGGCACCATGCTTATATCATTCCTGGCAGCCGCTACCTTTACGCAATATTTAGTTCTTCAAAAATGCCCATTCTCCGTTGCAAGTTAAGACGAGACCATTGCGGTGGAGGATATAAGTAATCGTACACGACTGCGCGTAGTTTCTTTTAATTTCTTTAAAAAATTATAAAACTATGCTTTCAAAAACAACATAAAACCTTTAAAAAGTGAAACATGTCAGATAATTCATCCCATCTATTAATCATAGAATTATTATAAAAAGAGAAACAGGTTATAATTTCGTGTTTATACTGAAATCCTAGGCGCCTCTTACAAAAGTTGGCACTTCTTATACTGACATGACTTAACAAATCAAGTGCGAGACAAAGAATTTTTACTTTTGTTTTACTGTAAAAGAAAATCGTCCGCGAGATATACATTTGAGCTGGGAGCTTAACATCAATTTGGCGTGCACTTGTATACAAACTTTCTTTTTCAATCGAGATAATGTTTTTTTGTTAACTTATTTGCAAGTATAGTTGCTAATTTTGGCTGAAGAATTTTTACTCAGATTTAACCAAATCAGCTTTGGGAATGGAGTAATCAGTAACTTGGAAAAATCAGCAACTAAAAAAAAACAGACTTTCATAGGTAAATTGAGATGCTTCTCTGTATGATCAGAATTTTTCTTGAGGTAGCAAAAATAAGATATTAATTCTTGCTTTATTTATAATTGCACCGTCCAAAAACTAGGCTATATGCCTTGTCATGTATCATTATGTCAAGTATATTACCTAGTTATCTATCATTATGTATTATGTTCCTAGCCATCTTATCTTTTTGAGTGATGTCAGACCTAGTGAATCAGTGAGAGCCAACTAGGGGTGGTACCAGAACTATTCTAACCAGTTTTTTTTTTTTTGAGAAATCTTTGAAAGAGTGGGAGTAATTGTCCTTATTCTGTAAGTTTTGCTCGCTATCAATTTATTAAAACATTAGCAGAAAGCGAAACAGTTATCATCCCTGATAATGTACCCAAGCTGCTTTTGCACTGATACTCACTGATATTCTTCCTGACACGAATTAATCACTTACAAATGTCACTTGTGTATCACTTTATGTGATTGCCTTTTTAAAGCACTTTTAAAATCCTTTACTTATGCACACTTTCACATCTCAAAACTTTTACTTTTAAATTTAAAAATGTGTTTATAGCGCCTGATCACTATGATCCCGATCAAGCCTTAAAGAAAATGGAAGGTTTAAAGCCCAGTTACAGTTACTCATTTGGAGCGAAGCATCACGTGATGGATGACTCACCGGGTAATCAAAACGTCTAATGAAAGAACACAAAATATTACTTCCTGTTAGAATAGAAGCATTTGTTTTACATTACACTTTTATTAGATTTACAGAATATTCAGGGGTTGGACAAAATTATGGGAACGTACTAATTCTAACTCTATGAGATCTCTACTCTAACTCTATACTAGCTTTACTCTAATTCTATATTAGCTCTACTCTAACTCTATACTAACTCTCTGTAAATAACTTTCGTTTTGCAGTAAATGTTTTGGAAGGTTTTACTTAGCAAAGCTCTTGGCACAGTTTGAGAGATCATGCTTTCGACTTTTAGAAATGGTATCTTTTTACCCATGCAAAATTTGGATTGACCAAATTGATGAGAAGGAAGGTAATAACTTCTTTCTAACTTTAATACCAATAAATTTTGAAACCATGCTATATGATGGCGATATTTAAAAGGATAATTGGCGATTTAAATTCTGGGTATGGAGTACTATCTGCTCTTTCATTGAAATATAATAGAATTAAGGAAGGAATGAGAAGATAACGTTAGTAAATTAACATGATAATATAATACTCTAATAAGTTATATACAAGAATGAAAATTACGGGATAGGGAAATTTTTTTATATAAATTGTGGGGGTATTTAAAACAGGAAAAGGAGCTTTTAATTCCTTAACGCCCATTTCAGTAGATGGAAATTTTGCATGGGTAAAAAGGGCACCTTTTTAACTGTTCTTTTAAATTGTGCCAGCTGTTTAACCATATAAAATCTTCAAAAACATTTGCTGCTATAAGAAAGATTGTTCACATAGAGTTAGTATAAAATTATTACCATATTTTTGTCCATCCTCTACACGTTGGAATTTTCTTAATAAATGCTTATAATTAACCATTTTGTCTCTTATTGCTTTATTGTGAGTGAGTCAATCGAGGTATCTGCCTTTCGGCACTTGCCTCTTCATCTAAGTGATATAGCTATAGTCAACGAAGGGGACGGGACGCATTGGGGATAAAAGTAATGGAAAATTACAGTCAATTATTTTTAAAATCTTATTGTATTCAGAATCCCTCAAAACTCCCAGAAAACATGTTATTACTTTTTTAGGAGGCAAAAAACTTTTACTTTCGTTTTCACCCGAAGTGGAGAGTCACTTGATTTTGAGATGCCAACTTGCTCCGGACAGCAAATAAATATTTTAAAGTGTTGGTTTAACAATTGTGATTTTTGGTTTAATAAATTCAATTTAGTAGATTTTTATCCACCACAATTTCTAAGTAATTCGTAGGCTTATAAAATTCACCACTTCATAATAGCTATGTCTGATTGGTTGGTTCTAATGCCACTTGCCACACGGGCAAGCCTGCTAGGTGAAACCGAGCAAATTTAAGGCAGAGTGTGCGATTCTTGTTTTTCAGTGGCACCATCTATGGCCAAGAATTCGACTTTGCCACATCATACGTCACACCTGTTTATAAGGTGTGACGTATGACGGCCAACGTTGAATACCTTTCGAAGATCTTACCCTGAGGACCCATCGTAATTTCGATCCTCTACAAAAGGGATGACTCCCCTGCTTTTGTACCCCGACGACCTGCGAAGGAAGTCGAGCACTTTACGGTAGAACAGATTAACGAGGACCCATACCGCACACCCTCAGTCCCAACGCAGGCCGATTAATGCGGTCACCCACCCGGTTACTGACGGCAGCTAGTGATGACTCAGTAGCTCCAGACTTCAGTCTTCTACTAGCAACCGTGTCTTTACGATCAGTCCACTGCGGGATCATGCGATGTAGAAAAAGTCGACAGGAGCGTATTTCATACGTCTCACCAGCATTTTCATTCGGTGTTAAATCTAATCTTAGCAAGTCTAATCTAAGCATTCTAATCTAAAAACTAAAAGCTTCACGATATACCTGGTGATTCAAACTATTTCAATCAAAACTCTGTTCTTATTTGCACGTTTTTCCATCGCATGTTTTTCCTTTGCACTATATTCTTTCGCATTTTCTCCAATAAACTAAAATAACCCGTTCGGGATCTCAATATCTTACAAACCAACATTAGAATGAGTTGATGCTGCCATCTGTTTGCTCAAAAAGAAAAAAATTTAACAAAAAGTAAAAAAAATAGCTGAAAATTTGTTTACTAAATTTTTGCTACGTTTTTTAATTTTTACTTCAGATTATCCAGTAATTATAGCTCGTAGAGTTTTCATTTTTCAGTCAAAAATTTGACTTGAAACATTTTAATTGTTTGTAAAGCTATTTGTGAATTTGCATTTAAAATATTAGCACAATGAATTTGTATTCCAACTCGTCATAAGGATAATTTTTCTTTGATATATATTGCTCAAAACAATTAAAACATATTGAGGTTGTGGGTTGATCTTGCACCTGGAGAATTGTTTGAATGATTGATATGTTATCGACGGACGTAGTAGGCTATATGAGATAAAAATGACACTTGTTTGGCAGGAAAAAAATGCGTTTTAATGAGCATTTGCGTACAAAAGGAAAAAAGAGTTTAAACTTGTGCATATGAGAAAAACAAATAAAAAGGTGTTTCCTTAACACGTTCACGCCGCGGTGACCCACCGGTGGGTCACGCTAGATTGTCTCATCTTAGCAGCGCACCGGAGTAAAAACTGGTAACAATAAATTTCATTTTTTAGTTTTTTTCCGGGAATAATAAAAATCCATAACTACCAATTGTTTTTAACGGATGCAATTTTTATATTGAATTGCTTCTTCGCCGTGATAAATTTCCTAACTGTGAATTGTTATTGTTGAGAATAGATTAACTCCTCCCGAATATTATCTAATATTGAAATAGTTCTTCTACCAGTATTTTCTCATTTCCCGGCGTGAACGTGTTAAAAGAAAATCGTTTATAGTAGGGGTATAGTATGGTTTCCCAGCAACGTTGAATACCTTTCAGGCATTGGAATATGTTAAATTATTTTTTGAAACCGTTCCATCCGATACTTTCAAAAGTATAGTATGTTTACTTCATAAAGAGAAACATGTTATTTTTTTTCAAAAAAAAACTATTTCCAAAAATCTGATTATGTTCATATTTTGTAAATATTTCATATCCATCAAAGAAGAAGGATTATTTTTCTGCTGCGAAAGTACAGCTTTATGTTTTATTTCATACTTTAAATAAAATCACTTATTAATTAATATCCTAATTCAATCCTATCCTAATAAAATCCTAATTATCTTTAGATCCTTACACTGAATCATACTACCGAAAACTCCGATAAGTAGATGTAAAGCTGCTCAGGATGTTATCTTATTTTGTTTATATGTTGTTCACTTACATCTTTAATTAGAATTCAATTAATCTTGATGTATTTACAGATTTGAACAGTTAATATTAATTAATCTCTATAAAATGAATTTTGTAAATCTTGACAGAATTTATTTCCTCTGAACTTTCCTTTATTTAATAAAACTTTATCAAGGCTTTTTAAAGACTTAAGTTTTATTTTTCAAGTTTTCAAGGACAATTTTTCGTTAATCTAGATAATCGTAAGTGATTTCAAAATATGCGTTTTAAAATCCAAATTACAAGGACGATTTAAAATATCGACGTCAATTTCACGCATACAAAGAGCCTACAACTTACATAAAAATGTTTAAAAGAAGTGTTCAATATTTTGCAGGGCTCGTAAAAACTTAGAAAGTTTACCCGTCCCCGAGGATGGCTTGTCCAGAAATGTACCCATCCTCCTCTGAAACTAACCCGTAGCTTCTAAATAAATAAAAATATAATTTTCTCTTATTTATTACAAACATTTATATAAATAGCATAATGAATTAATACTTACTAGGATTACATTATACAGTAATAAAAGAAATACTAGGTTACTAATAGTAACCTAGTATTTCTTTTATGAAAGAATTAATTTCTTTTGTAAAATAATTTAAATGACAAAGGTCAAGTTATCTGGATTGGCAATTTATCCGAGGGTACTGCATTTTTTAAATGAATCAAATATGCCGTTTGATGTACCCGTCCGCCTTTGCAACTAACCCGTAGCTTCTAAAATAAATATATAATTGTTTCTTATTTATTATGAATTAGTAGTTACTAGTTTTACAAATACTAGGATTACATTATACAGTAATAAAAGAAAGTATTTCTTTTATGAAATAATTTAATTCTTTTATGAAATAATTTAA